CTTATATAACCTTATGCCTATCCCACGAATGCTTAAACTCCTTCACTGTGTTAACCTCTAACACTTCAGCTGGAATCCTATTCCATGCATCCACTACCCTCTTAGTAAAGTAATACCTCCTGATATTATTTTTAAACCTTTACCCCACTAATTTAAGACTATGTCCTCCTGTTATTGGCTGGTAAAGCAGAAATTATTGATATTTAATGGTCTGACCAATTTTACTTTATTTGTTTGAGTCTCTCCGGTCGACATCAGATCGTGCCTGGAAACTTAGTGATTACTTTGTGTTGGGCTTGGAAAATAAATCAATAGCTGAAAAAGTTACACAATATTTTGAAGACAATTACAGCCCTGAGGTTTCTAGCGGGTTGGTATGGAATGCCCATAAGGCTCTGTTCAGATGCCATCTTATTCACGGACTATGTTATTTGAAGAAAATTAAATCTAAAAATTAAAGGGAGATGGAGACTGTCTGCAGCTTTTGACACTGTTGATCATCAACAGCTTCTTCTCATCCTCCGCAATATCGGACTACAAGATATTGCTCTCTCCTGGTGCTCCTCCTACCTCTCCCAGTGCTCTTTCAGTGTTTCTTTCTCTGGCTCTGCTTCTTCTCCCCAACTCCTCTCTGTTGGTGTCCCCCAAGGTTCAGTCCTTGGTCCCCTACTGTTCTCCATCTATACTGCCTCCCTTGGTAAACTCATTAGCTCCTTTGGCTTCCAATATCATTTCTATGCAGATGACACGCAAATCTACCTGTCCTCTCTTGATCTCTCCCCGTCCCTCTTGACTAGTGTCTCTGACTGCCTCTCTACTGTTTCTAACTGGATGGCTGCCCACTTCCTTAAACTAAACTTGACCAAAACTGAAATTCTGGTCTTTCCTCCCTCAAGTGTTGTTACTCCTGTGTCTGTCTCCCTCCAAGTCAACAGTGCTACCAACAGCTCCACCACGCAGGCTCGCTGCCTAGGTGTTCTCTTTGACTCTGACCTCTCCTTCAAGCCTCATGTTCAATCTATTGCCAAATCCTGTCATTTCCATCTCAAAAACATTGCGCGCATCCGCTCCTACTTAACGCCAGATGCGACTAAGGTGTTGGTCCATTCCACTGTCCTTTCTCGCCTTGACTACTGTAATCCACTTCTCAGTGGTCTTACATGCTCCCAACTAGCTCCGTTACAGTCCATAATGAATGCGGTGGCGAGGCTCATGTTCCTGTCCGCCACAACCTCTCATGCCTCACCCTTCTGTCAGTCCCTACATTGGCTTCCTATAAAATATAGAGCTCAATTTAAAATTCTGGTTCTTGCTTTCAAATCTCTACATAATGCTGCTCCCACCTATCTATCCTCCCTTATGCACAAGTATGTCCTGTCTAGGCCCTTACGATCTGCTGAAGACTTCCGTCTATCTTCTGTCCGTACTCCCACTTCTGATGCTCGCCTTCAAGATTTCTCGAGGGCTGCACCGTTCCTGTGGAACTCGCTTCCCTCCTCCGTTAGATGCTCACCCAGTCTCCACTCCTTCAAAAAATCGTTAAAAACCCACTTCTTCATAAAAGCGTATCAATTACACTGTTAATAGCTCCTGTCTGATTCCTCTTCTGCAACTTTCACTAGTCTAATACTATCCTTACCTTTTTGTGTCATTTTACCCCACTCCCTCTAGCATGTAAGCTCATTGAGCAGGGCCCTCAACCCCTCTGTTCCTGTGTGTCCAACTTGTCTGGTTACAACTACATGTCTGTTCGTGCACCCATTGTAAAGCGCTGCAAAATTTGACGACGCTCTATAAATATAATAATAATAATAATTTACAATTAGTAAATACATTTGGTCTGTCTCCCTCTCTATTGGCCATGGTAAGAGACTATATGAGAAAATATAAGTGATTCAATTGGAAAAAAAAAAAAGCCTTCATGCTGAGATGAATCAAATAGATTTATTATTCAAAAGGAAACAAGGCCTCCTCCCTTTTGGTGTTCAAACTCAGACAACATGTGGTGCAATCACGGATTGCATATATATTAGGTGATGATGGTAAAAAGATTACACACCCAGTAAAAATCAGTCATTATTTTGCAAGGCACTATATCATTTGGCTTCTAAATTTAAAACTCAACAACCTACTTCTGAAAAAATAAAGGCATTTTAGATAAAACTAACCTACCCCATATTCCCCCTGAAAAATTGGATTCTCTAAATTTGGTCATATCCCAACAAGATGTACTAGACACTATCAACAAACTACCAGGTGGTAAAGCACCAGGCTCAGACGGCTTCATGATTTTTATTAAATAAACCTTTTCACATATACTTTTGCCCCATCTGACAAAACTGTTTAACCTATTTTGGTTTGAGGGAAAGATGCCAGTGGAGTCTTTGTGTGCACAAATGATCACCCTGCTGAAACAGTGAAAAATTCAAGATCGCTGTGCCATCTTCCGACCAATCTCTTTAATAAATAATATGAAAATATATGTGACTATCAATGATATATAATACTACTAACAAAGAAAACAATGTTAAGATGTATGTCCTCGGAACAGAGTTGTAATTTCTTATGTAGTATGGATACCCCCTCTCATTTTTATCTCCCCCAGAATTTTATATTGTGTTACTTTGTATAACACATTATGTAACATACATTATCTATGTAGCACAGCATTATCTATTTAAAATGTGCTGTTTTTTTCACATTTAACCCCTTAAGGACGGAGCCAAATGTACACGTTGTGAACGAAACAAAATGTAAACAAAACCTGGCATTTGCGCTACATGTCTGTCCAACCGTAATTCAGCTCTGTTATATTAAATGCACCCACCCTTATTATATATAATTTTATTCAGGGGAAACAGGGCATTCATTTAATATCGAATATTTAGCTATGAAACATAATTTAATATGAAAAAAATGGGAGAAAATAAGATTTTTTAAAAATTTTTAGTTCTACATGACATTGTAACTGTCAATGTCATAATACTGTTTGCTTTTACTGCAATAAAATACACATATTTGTATTCAGCAAAGTCTCATGTGTAAAACAGTACCCCCTATGTACAGGTTTTATGGCGTTTTAGGAAGTTACAGGGTCAAATATAGCACGTTACATTTGAAATTGAAATTCGCCAGATTGGTTACGTTGCCTTTGGGACTTTATAGTAGCCCAGGAATAAAATTTACACCCATAACGGCATACCATTTGCAATAGTAGACAACCCAAGGTATTGCAAATGGGGTATGTCCAGTCTTTTTTAGTAGCCATTTGGCCACAAACACTGGCCAAAGTTAGCGTTAGTATTTGTTTGTGTGAAAAATGCAAAAAACGCCAATTTTGACTAAGTGGCTACTAAAAAAGACTGGACATACCCCGTTTGCAATACCTTGGGTTGTCTACTATTGCAAATGGTATGCCATCGTAGGGGTAATTTTCATTCTTGGGCTACCATAGGGTCTCAAAGGCACCGTAACCAATCTGACGAATTTTAATGTGAAAAAAAATGAAACGCATGCCTTATATTTGACGCTGTAACCTTTGAAAACACCATAAAACCTGTACATGAGGGGTACTGTTGTACTCGGGAGACTTCGCTGAACACAAATATTTGTGTTTCAAAACAGTAAAATGTATCACAGCAATAATATCGTCCGTGTAAGTGCTGTTTATGCATGAAAAAGGCAAAAAACTTCACTTTTACTGGCGATATCATCGTTGTAATACACTTTACTGTTTTGAAACACTAATATTTGTGTTCAGCGAAGTCCCTCGAGTAGAACAGTACCCCCCATGTACAGGTTTTATGGTGTCTCGGAAAGTTATAGGGTTAAATATAGTGCTAGCAAATTAAATTCCCTTTACTTTTGGCATGGGTTGTCAGGCAGGTCCCGCTAATTGTAATTAATTAAGATACCTAATTATGTAAAAAATATTACATAAATATATATGTAGAATTAATATATGTATATATATACGTATGTGAATCTATATGTGTATATCTATATAATTTTTTTTAAATATTTTTATTTATATATAGGTATATATATAGTGATATATACGTATATATTTATGTATGTAGATATATATATTATTTAGTTCTACGTGTATTTTGATATAAATATATATATATTAATATCACAATACAGTTAGAACGAAATAACACACATCTATATATTTTTTAATTTTTTTTTAATAATTTTTTTAATTTTATTTTTTAATGTATTTACATATTTAATTTTTTATATTATATATAAATATATATAACAATAATTAAATATATATTTAATCAGTATCAGTCTACGTGTAATTTGATATTAATATATATATATATATATATATATATATATAATTATATATATTAATAGTAAAATACACCTAGACAGTGTGTGTATGTATATGTGTATATATATATATACTTAGAAACCAGAACAATGAGTAAGCGCTTGATAACACAGATTAGCAGCAACCCTATAAGGAAGTCCCTCAAAAACCCTTGAATAAAACACAGAAAGGTAAAAAATACAAGAAAGGGCTGCGCTTGGGTAAAACTTTAAATAATACGAAAAGTCCAGATAAAATAAATGGATAAAAGGAGAAAGTCTTATCTGGCAATGTCCGTTGGAATTGTATTATATGATTAAACTTGGTCCAAAACAATGGTCTTACTTATTATCTTCCTTGTAGGTCGTCTCATATGCAAAAGATAAAGACAGATACAGAACCAAAATAGTGTAGTATATCTTGGCTAGTTAAGGAAGTAGAAATGAAAAACTTGATTGCAAACTCACATTTAAAAGAGCTAGAACCCACTCTGGTATGAAGGGCGTTTAGATCCCCGCTTGTAGGATATGGAATAACTCTCCTTCGCGTACTTCCCCCCTCCGTAGTAAGAAATACCCTCCAATGTGGTAGTTCAGACTTGAAATATAACTTTCTAATAACCCAGTGTTAGCGCCTCTTTCTTTCTTTTTTTATGTTATTTACAATCTTTATTCTTTTCAGAAGGAAAATTATGGATAGACTGTCTCATTCTGGGTTTCATTTATAAATGGGCATCACATGTTTTAATGTCACTTTCAGGGTGGCCGCGGGATACAGTAGAAGGTATGCATACTTACCTTACTTCTTCTTATAGTATCTTGGAACTGCATTGTAATGCCATTAGTAAATAGCTTTCTCCATTGTATACACAGTCAATCAAGTTGTAGGGTACTGCTATAGTCTCTACATACTGTTAGTAAATAGGCTTATCCTCTGTAGTCATGTCAGTTGCACACATTAATGGGTACCCTGTACAGTGGAGCACAGGGTAGTTAGTGATTTGCAATGAGAGATCTTAGATATGATTAAACATTTTTAAGCCCCATGTTACAGCGTGTCGTCTTTACAACCATCTGCAAAGTCATGCCAATAACAATTTCTGTTTGTCTGTCTGTCTTTCTGTCTGTCTATCTATCTATCTATCTATCTATCTATCTATCTATCTATCATTAAGACAGAAGAAGTTCAAGTACCAGAAGGCCAAATAGGAGATGTAGAGAACAGCTAAAGTACCTGGGGTATTCCTAACACATATCAACTGTGAGGAATAGGCAAGGAGAATTGCAACATCCAAGTAGCTTCAGAGAGTCAGACAGGTCCCGAGTTCCGAACTCAATGGCAATAACAAGATCCAAGCCATCAACACATCTGCTCTACCAGTCATCAGGTATCCAGCTGGAATAATAACCTGGCCAAGAGAAAAGTTGGTCACCATTGATGTCAAGACCTGGAAACTTCTCACACTGAATGGAGGACTCCACCTGAAATTCACAACCTAGAAACTGTACACCATATTCTGTCTGTCTGTCTGTCTAGCTCTTTAAAGGACAGATGTTTATGATAACATTGACCATATTATCAAATGATGTTACTTTAAAGTGGTAAACCTTGTTCAAGATCATCAACTGCCTATATTGCTTAATGGAAATCAGACCTTTAAGGGCCGGATGTTTCCATCACAAAATATAGAATCCAGTTCTTGAATGCTTGACACGTAATGTAATAATATCTCATTTATACATTTGATTCTCAAACTGAAAATAAAATTTGTGGTCCAGTCTTAAATTATTAACTAAATAGTAAAATTGAATTAACGAGGGAAAGGCTCACAGATGGCATTCAACTTTTTAGAAGAAATAATTTTTCTGCTCACCATATGACTCATAAAACTGTTTCTTCGTATTAACCTTTAAAATAAAAAAATAAAAACATTAAATCTCCAGGATTATGCCTCATGCATGTAGGGACACATAAATATATATGATCTTGCAAAACAATTAAACAGATAAAAAGGAAATACACTAATACTTTACACACATCAAAACATTAACCCTTTAAAAGTCCAGAGAAAACAGGTCGATTCAGTAGTTACTTGGTTGTAAAATGGCTGGCTTGGAAGATTGTTTCTACTCAGCTGGTGAATAAACTACAGTTCATTGTTTTTAAATAAATTAAACCCCATGGTGAAACTTAGAGTGCTAGGGCAGTACTCAGGAATAAGACATTTCTGTATTTTTAATGAATTTACGATGGCTGGATTTTCCAGTAAACTGACCAAGAAGCACATGGACCAAACTGGGTCAGTGTAAGGCCATCTCCTTAACAAGAAATGCACATTTATTTCCTTTTAGCTATTAATATATATCTCATTTTGCTATATATTTACATTTATATCCTGAGGCAAATCATGGCCGAAGCTACAGAGAAATACATTTTTGGTGCTATGAAGGGCCCATACAACGGTGCCTTATTAAATAAATATGGAAGACTCTTTTTCTCTTCAATAAATGCAGTGAAAATATGCCCTCAATGCTTAACTGAAATACAATAAAGCCTTCATTGACCAAATTCATTGGCCTTATTGAAATGCCAGCTTTTCTATAAAATTCTATAAAAATGGACTTCATGTAATGTCGCCTGAGAATGCGTTAGATTTCATGAAAACATCCATGGAAATGAACTAATTTCGAAAAAGAAAAAATGACAGCCAGGTATCTGTTTTTCTATGGGATACGTCCAGCATGGCAACGAACTGCGAGAATGTATTGCATGCATCCTACTACGGAACGGATGGAAAAATTTGGTGGCAGATCTGAGGATGTAAAATCCCCTGTAAACTGAGCTAAAATGTGTAAATGTTCATACACGCAGAGCTAGGGGGATTCAGAAAGGAACAGGGACTAATTATAATTCCTCTATGTACAATAAATGTTTTGCATCACTATTAGTTCACAAGGTCATGGTACATGCAATACCATACTTAGACTTTTTTTTTTTTTTTTTTTTTTAATAAACTTGAATGTCTTCCAGGCACTGTAGTAACTTTTGCTTTTCCTGGCTACAACAACAAAAATGTTGTGCTACACCCAATTTGGCTTTGGGCAGGGTAACTCCACTTATTATTCCAAGATTGCTAAGGGGAAACACAGATGAATTACTTTACTCGTAATAAAATTGGAAAAATACTGATTGGGACACATGGAATGTCTTAAGAGAATTGTCTATACTTATATGCAATTATGTTTTGACTACCTGAAGAAGAATCACCCTTTAACTTCTATCAAAAATACCACAGACGTACTTTCATTTCTCATTGACATTCAACGACATTTAGGTAATAGGAAGTAATTGTGTATTGAATCAATAGACAACAAATTCAGTAAATACAGTAAAATATATTTAAAAAATGCTCTAATTAAATTTGTTACAGAAAAAACGAACAAAATAAAAGAGAAAACAAGAAAGAAGAGTATGTGAAGGAAAGCCATAACAAAGTAAGATTTGATTTATATCTTTGTCATTGTCATAGGTCAAAAAAGGAATGAAAAATGGTCATCAGAGGCATGATGGAATTTATAATAGTTAGCAGTTTATTTAATTGTTTAACAGGATTCTACAGCTGAAGGAGATAAACCAAAACCCTAATGATATAGTGTAATCAGCAAACCTAGCTATGGTCTTCTGAGCAGTAGTTTATATGCTCTTATCTATTTATCTATTTATATAATACAATTCTAGGGAGGACTTGTGAACCATTGAGGAATGTTTGCTAATGTCTATGAAGTCAAAGAAGTGGGACATCGAGAGATAGAGGCATGAGCTGCATCCCCCACAATAAATTACTCTGGTAGTCCTTTATATTTCTACATGATGGACCTCCAGCAGGTGAACAGTTTAGATTTATGGGTGGCACCTGAATTGTGGATAGACAGACACAGCTCAAAAAAACAATGAGGACACTGGTGATGCCAAATCCTTGAATACACATAAAGGTTCAATATACCTATACCTGAATGTGAATGCACCAAATGTAGCAAATCTTACATTTTAGAAAGATGTATGTGTTCATTGTTATTGGAGGAGAACCACCCTAATGTAATCTTTGGGAGGATGTCAATACTGTATTAGATCTCCTTCTGAACAGTAGCTCATATCAACCCAACAGAGTGAGCTAGGCCATCACTCTTCCAGCAATCAGACTACACTTAACTGATGGTTGTAAGAATCTACACCATACTGACAGCGGCTATATTTTATTTTCCTACCAGCAAAGACTTGGACCATTTCTTTCATATAACAAAATACTGTTCTGAGACTATAATAAATAAAGTCAGTGGACTAAATGTTTTCTTTATACCTAACTTCTAAGGTCACCTGAAAAATTCATTTTTTTTAGTGAAATAAGTTTGTTATTCTTTAGAAATCCATGAGGACGGGACTGATCCCTCTCTATTGGACAGGTTTATAGACCCTCAGTTATCATATTCCACGTTAAGATAGCTTGATAATACATTACAACTACATAGTTACATAGGCTGAAAAGAGACATATGTCCATCAAGTTCAGCCTTTCTCACATCTGTTTTTGTAAGGCAAAAGAAAACAGTTTAAAGGGCTTTCCAATTTTGCAACAAACTAGAGAAATATTCCTTCTTTACCCCAGAATGGCATTCAGATCTTCCCTTGGATAAAGAAGCTGTTACCCCACATATTGAAAATTATATTATTATCATTTAATTATTTATAATTCGTAGGGCTGTACAATTTAAGGAAGTGAGCAGCCATCCAGTTGGAAATTGTGGAGAGGCAGTCAGAGACATGTGTCAAGATGGGTGGAAAGAGATCAGGTAGAGAGGACAGGTAGATTTGCGTGTCATCTGTATTTAAATGATAATGGAAGCCAAAGGAGCTGATGAGTTTACCAAGGGAGGCAAATATAGATGGAGAACAGTAGGGGATCAAGGACAGAACCTTGGGGAACGCCAACAGAGAGGGGTTGGGGAGAAGAGGCAGAGCCCGAGAAAGAAACACTGAAAAAGCACCAAGAGAGAGCAGTATCTCATAGACCAAGATTATGGAGAATGATAAGAAGCTGTTGATGATCAACAGTGTCAAAGGCAGCAGCAAGTTCAAGAAGAATTAGGATAGAGTAGTGGCTGTGAGATTTAGCAGCAATTAAATCGTTGGGTACTTTGGTTACAGCTGTTTCAACAGAGTAACGAGTGCGGAATTCAGACTGAAGCGGGTAAAGCAGAGAGTTGGATTCGAGGAAGTCTGTAAATCTCACCTACACAACTCTCTCAAGGATCTTGGAATCAAATGGCAGTAGCGATATATGGCGGTAGTTGGATGCGGAGTTTGGGTCAAGGTTGGGCTTTTTCATAATTGGCATTATGGTTGCATGCTTGAAGGGTGAAGGAAATGTGCCGGAGGAAAGGGAGAGATTGAAAATAGAGGAAGCGCAAGAGAGGGAGATAGAGTGCATATGAGATATAAGGGAATAGGCTCGAGGGAACAGGTGGTGGGGCAGGAGGACCAGAGCAGAGCAGAAACCTCTTCTGTTGTAGTAGATGCGAATGAGCTTAGTATAGTGGAGTGAGTGGGGTTGGGTGATGTATTGGAAGGGGAGGGAGAGAGGTTAGAGATCTCTTCCCTGATAGTAGAAATCTTCTTAGTGAAGTGAGTTGCAAATTTTGAGGAGGACAGAGTGGTAGGAAGAGGGGAGCAACAGAGCGAATGAGAGCATTAAAAGTGTGACATATCTTATTGAATATTATGTTTTTGCAAGTATTCATCCAGTTGCTGTCTAAATATCTGTACAGACTGATCAACTCACCTCTTTAGGCAGAGAATTCCATATCCTTGTTGTTCTTACTGGAAAAAAACAAACAAAAAACATGTCCTTTACCTTAGCCTAAATCTAATTTCTTCCAGTCTAAATGCACAACCTTGTGTTGTTTGTATACTCCTGTTTATGAATAGATTTCCAGGCAATGGTTTGTATTGGCCCAGTATATATTTGTATAATGCTAACACATCCCTTCCGAGGGGCTATTTTTCCAAACTAAACATATTTAAATGTTTTAATCTTTCTTAATAACTAATATGTTCCATTCCTTTTATTAATATTTTAGCCTGCCCCTGCACTTTTTCTAGTGCCATTATATCCTTCTTTAGAACAGGTGCCCAAAATTGCACAGCATATTCAAGCTGTGATTTATAAAGAGAGCGAAATTATTATTTTTATCCAGAGAATGAATGCCCCCTCCTGATCTGCCTTTTTGGTGACATCATCAGAATTGTGCAGCACTCCCTTACGAAGCACCTTCAGTGGCCATCTGAGGAGTGGCCACAGGAGGTGTCCCTAGGCTGTAATGTAAACACTGGGTTTTCACTGAAAATGCAGTGTTTGCATGAAAAAGGCTGAAGGGAATAATTTACTCACCAGAACAACTACCTCAAGCCATAGTTGTTCTGGTGACTATAGTGTCCCTTTAACCAGCACAAGTTCCAAAAATCTTGGAGCTTGAATAGTGCTTCTCATGTGTCTTTACCACTATAGTGTCAGGAATACATGTTTGTGTCCCTGACACTATAGTGTTCCTTTAATTATCTACAACAATATCCGTGTCATGTTGCTGGTTAAGAAGGGTACTGTACGTGCAGAAAGACTCTCACGTTTGCCCTTTTGAACACTAAGACCTCATTTTAGAAAAACCTGCTCTAACTAGCATCTATGTTTTGCCCTGTTAGGAAATTTTCCACGAAAACCAAATAGTGAACTACACCCAACACAGCCAGAGGCTGGGTAACTCCAGCTACAATTCAATACTGTTAGGGGAAGCACAGACAGAATTATTTTCTCATAACATCCTGGGAAAATCTTGATTGGGACATGCTAAGTGTCTTGGAGGAAAGCTTTATAGCTATTATGTAAAAATAATATTTTGCAACCTTGAAGGTATCCTTAAGTATACAGATATTTTGATGAATAAAATCAAGGTAATTCTATGTCATGGGATCTGGATGGACTGATACATGTTACACAATCTATAGTTTGATTGTACCTTCTGTCTTACAGTTAAACAGTTTCATCAAGAATCTATCTAACTATGTCTCCCGGATACAGTCCAGACTTAGAATTAATACGTTTTTTTCTTTTGGAAGAAGAGTTTAAGAGAATAAATTAAATGCACATTTTAATGCAGTTATTTCCCTGAAATTCTCAGTTTTTGGGTGGGGATATTTTGGATCATTTGGATCATATTTTGAGACATATTTCTATGGAGTTGTAAGGTCATCCTTAAATTATAGGTAGGATGCTAAACTTGCATTAACAACTATGCTGTTATCATCTGCCTTGATATTAACACAAAATGCACCAGATACTACATAAGTCACAGGGGATCTGCTGCAATCCCCTAGTAGTGGTTGTCGGAATTAAATGGTTCCTACAACCACTACTTCAGTGATTTGAAGTGGTCATGGTGGTAGGAGTTTAAATGTGCAGAGCTTCTGCATGAAACTCAAAATGCACATTACATTGTACAATGGCAACAGATGTAACAATCTTCCCCCTTGCAGGCAGCTTAATCTCATTTCCCTCTGTGTGGACCCTACAAACCTCCCATCATTAAAGAATTCCCTCCATCATTCTCTGCCTCCCCAATCTTCCCTCCCCTAGCTGGCTCAGGTTGGAGAAACAGTCCAATCACAGGCCTCTTGAGTCAACAGAGTTAAAGTAACCCTTTAAGTATCTACTGCTGCTTTACATATGACTGGTTAATACTGCTATGGAATAGGACAACTTTGTTTCCTTGGATAATTTGTTTGGATGAAGAACTACACAACCTTTGTACACTTGTGGTAATTGTAATACACTAATATTGAGTTTTTATTTTTGTATTTTCTGAACTTAATTTGCCTTTTTTATGACGTATGTGATACTGTTTAGTGCATGCATGAATGTAACTTTTTGTTTGTAAAAAATTGTGCATTATGGAATTTCACTATCAGGTTTTTCACTCTGTATCTCTTTATTTAAGTTTCCAAGAAGGAAAGAAAACGCCATTGGGCCCTGTGGGTTATCTTAATACTTCTCCATAAGATAGCATTAGACTCCATCCAGTCATCCAGTCAGTGACCATTCCTAATGTTTTCAAATAATTTGATTTAAAAAAAAAAAAAGCTGAATAACAATATGGGCTGGATAATATGTTCAATGCTTGTGTTCTCAAATCTAAAAAGGAGCCCATAATAGACCTGTACATGGTGGAAAAGTTTGGATCGGCAGAAAAATACAAACGAATGTTGCGAAAATGGGTGTAAAATTAGTGTATTGCAAAATATATACATAATATAAATATTTTGGTAAGTGAATGATAATTTGAAGTAATATTTGCAGGCTGTCAGCACTAGTAGTTGGGGGAAATAGTTAAATAACCCTTGGAACATAGAATGTGACGGCACATAAGAACCTTTCGGCCCATCTTGTCTGCCCAATAGTATGAGTGTTAGTCCTGTGGTGGTTGGCAGGGCTTGTTAGCAGGAAGAGCTTTTAAAAAAAAGATTTTAAAAATCGATGGAAAATTGCAAAATAGTGGGCATTGACAGAGATAACTGATAATCTGTCCAAATGTGCATAAAGATGGCGGTCCGAATTGGGCAATGGGAAGGGTAGGCAAGAGATTTCTTAAAAACAATCAACATATGTAGCCTAACATTACACACAATTAATGAAATGGTAAACATAAAGATTATATAAAGCTATTAAAATAACATTATAACATAAAACTGACATGAAAAAATTATGACAGTATTTATTTAATACATAGATCCCCCACATGCTCATATACAATGTTCTATTTTTTCATTAATCTATTTCTATTCTGTATATAGATTTTGCAGTTAGATAAAGATTACATTATACAGTATATTCCTAGAAAGGCTGAACGTTTTACCATCATGAATAAAAGGCATTGTTTTTGCAGAATGTCTGTAGTAAGCTTACCTTTCTCAATTCTTCTAAAAACCCACATTTCAATATTTGAATTCTAATAACAGAACTTTGGTAAAACACATAACTGCTTCATTCATTACCCAGAAGAGTATTTGTTATTATTTACGTTTCCTCGATACATGCTGCGTTAACTTGTAAAAAATCAGGGGCTAGGGGATCATTCTTCCAAACATCCAGAGAGATTTAAAGATTTGCTGAAAGCCCTCTTTAACATTGACAGAACAACCATCGTTTTCCTGTCAGCTTGTATTACAGATTAAATGGATAAAGAAAAGACTACGAAATGTCTCAGGGTCACTGGGGTAGCCCGTGTCAATCCTTTGGTTAAAGGAAATCAAAACAGGGACCCAAATCCCAAAGGCTTTGGGAAAGAAACTAAGGAAAACGCCTCTAAGTCTCAATGTGCTCTGGTTACGTGTGAGTTCGGCATGTTAATTTGGATACGTGTGCAGTACATGTCGTAGTATAAAACTCCACTTTAATTGAAGATTATGCTAGCGCAGTGTACTAATAATCTTAATTTTAATAATGACAGGAGGATTCATATTTTGCATTAACTTACTTTACTAACTCCACAGCAGCAAAGAAAAAAACAGTTGAAAGAAAGAACCAATCAGCTTGAGTCAGAGAGTATATAAGTTCCAGCCTAGCCAATCATTTCCTCTTGACTAGTGCGACATTACAAGTTCATAATATGACAAACGAGTCTTGAATCAACTTGAACCAACTATTCCAACATGGAAACTTCATTAGCGTATCCAAATGTCTTCATGAAACATAAACTTGTTACCTGATTCCGGTAAGTTCGGTATCTTGTTAAGCTGAAAGGAGAAAGGAGACTAGTATCAGTGATACGGAACCGACCATATGACATACATGCTTATGTGAATGTTGACAATATTGACTGTTAAACTAGTTTATCCCTACTATCTAAAAATAAGTCCCTTTCACACGCTAGAAAGAAAACAAAGGTAAAGAGTACCATAAAACATCTCACGATATAAATATATAAACTAGTATCAAGTTGTCCCTTGGAATCCACTTACCTTATTAGGGTGGGAACTTCAAGATGAATGGAGGGAAAATATTCGCCTCCTGTCATTATTAAAATTAAGATTATTAGTACACTGCACTAGCATAAGCTTCAGTTTTACCACATGACAGGAGGCTTCATATTTAGCAATTTTTAACGCTTAGGAAGAAGGGCGAATGTGGCATTGGACGACTGACGGAAATAGAATGTCCGAAACGTTGATTCGCGTTACCAGTCGGCAGTTTGCAGAATGTCTGACAGTGATGCGCCTGCCAAGAAAGAGGCTGATGCCGCCGCCCCCCGCACGGAGTATGCGCCAAAGGACAATCCCCTTAGAAAACGGAGTACCACATTCACATCCCATAGGTGTCGATATTTTGGTGCTGGAGGTCGTCTCAGTTTGATGCAGTCTAACAGTCGACAGATCAGGGGATCTTGTCCTACCGGTCTACCTTGGGACGGCATGTGGGCTGCTGAGATGGCGGATCTGACCACGTTGATGGTGCAATATGATTTCCCTTCCTCGAATATCTTCGATAGGAAGTTCATGATATCGGGTACAGGGGCTGTAAAGGGATCCAGGTTCCGCCCCATGCACCAATCGGTCCAAGAGTGCCATGCTGATAAGTAACTCTTTCGTGTTCCAGGGTCCCAGGAGTCCCATAGGAGGTCCTTAGTTGTTGCCGATAGGTTTCCGGTACACCATGCTCCCCTGAAAGATTCCAGGCTATCAGCGATAGGCGTCCATCTAGGAACATTGGGTGTGTCTCCCCCATTGGGTTTCTGAGTAGGCTGTAGTCGATAGGTAGTAGGATTGGATCCTGCCAAGCCAGTTCGAGCAGGTCCGGAAACCAAGGTTGGCTCAGCTAGTTGGGTGTCAGGAGCGTTAATCTCACTCCTCGTTGTCGAATGTGATGGAGAACCCTCGCAATCATGGCGAATGGGGGAAAGGCGTAAGCTCCTCGTGGAGGCCATTGTTGGGTGAAAGCGTCTACCGCCAGGCATTCCGGGTCTGGAAGCCAACTGTAAAACTGTGGCATTTGGTGATTTTTGTGGGAGGCAAATAGGTCCAGTGTGAAGGGCCCCATCTGATTGTTCAGGAGGGCAAATATCTGTGGGTCCAGTTGCCAATCGCTGACGTCTCTCCAGTGTCCAATCTGCCGTACGATTCGACTCCCCTGGCAGGTATTCTGCTTGTATCGTAATGTTGCGTGGGAGACAGTAGTCGAAGATTTCCTTCGTCAGCTCCACCAGTGTTTGGGAGCGTGTACCGCCAAGGTGGTTGATGTATCTCACCGCCGATATGTTGTCTATCCGAAGAAGTATACAATAATTGGATTGTCCTTTCGCCAGATGGCGTATAGCGAAAAACCCCAGTTCCAGGCAGTTGATGTGCATTGAGAGTTCTTGGTTTGTCCATGTTCCTCCCCTGGATGCTTCCCCGTCCGTGGCACCCCATCCTAATCGGCTGGCGTCTGATTCCAGCACGAAGTCCGTGTGGGTGCCGAAAATGGCTTGGCCGTTCCAGGCATGCATACAATTGAGCCACCATTCGAGTTCCTGATGTACCTCGCTCGTTAGCGGGACTGGTTGGTTGTACGTAAGGTTTTGTTGTAAGAAGCGGGCTTTCAATTGTTGCATGGCTCGGTAGTGCAGGGGGCCTGGAAATATGGCTTGTATCGAAGAGGACAATAGGCCAACGATCCGTGCTAATTGTCGGAGTGGAATGGAATCGCATTTGCGTACTCTGCGGATTTCCTTCTTGATGGCAGTCACTTTGGTAGCCAGGAGATGAAGAGTGCAGGACCTGGAGTCTATCTCGAAGCCCAGGAATTGGATGTTTTGTGTGGGTGTCATTGCGGATTTTGCTCTGTTGACTATAAAGCCCAGGGATTCCAATAATTGTACCGTATATTCTGTATGTTGGATTGCCAATTCCCTCGTCCTGCAGAACAAGAATATGTCGTCTAGATAAATGATGCACCTGATCCCATGAGTCCTGGGATGAGAGACTACTGGTTTCAACATCTTCGTAAAACACCATGGTGCCGAGCTCAGTCCGAAGGGGAGGCATGTAAATTGCCAGGGAGTGCCATTCCATAGAAATCGGAGGAGAGGACGGCTGTCCGCGTGAATCGGGATTGATAGATATGCGTCTTTGAAGTCCAGACGCGTAAACCAGTCCTTGTCTTGAAGGAGGTCCCTTAGTAAGTGTATGCCCTCTATTTTGAAGTGGTGGTAGGTTACGTGGGCATTCAATGCTCTGAGATTGATGACCGGTCTGAAGTCTCCGGTTTTCTTGCGGACGAGAAACATATTGCTGAAGAAGCCTCCCCGTCCTTGAACGGGCTGTGTGGCGCCCTTCGCATGCAGTTCGCGGAGCTCCATTTCTATGAGGTGCGCGTCTGATGCTGAGAGGTATAATGGGTGAGGAGGACATTCTTGTACCGGGTTCGTATGTAATTCGATGCGGTACCCTTTGACTGTCTGTAGCACCCAGGCATCTGATAAGAGTTTTGCCCAATTCTGGGAAAAAAGAGAAACATGGCCTGCAGACATGGTTAGTTGGGACATAGTTATGGGTTGTTTTCTTACCTGTGGGAAGTCTTGCTCGGGCTTGCCCGCAACCTCCACGTCCTCTTTCCGTACCCCTCTGATAGTAGGGGTAGCTCTGTCGAGAGCCTGCGTCCTGGTAACCCTGTTGCGGGTAAAATTGTTGTGGGTGTCCTGTGCGGGGTCCCGATTGCCAGAATCGGCTGGTGGGAAAAACACCTCTTGTGAGGTTGCCACGGAAAACCTTGCGCATGGATGAACGGGCTCGGTTTAGTGAGGTGAAGCCATTAACATGTTTGTTGAGCTCTTTGAGGAAGGCCTCCCCGAAGAGCTTGCCCTGTGCCTGTGGGCCCAATTCTTTTACCCCTAAATCCGCTAATTTGGGGTCTATGCGGAACAGTGCTGTGCAGAGGGCCGCATTGGTATTCCCGAGAAAACAGAAGCTTCTCTGTGTCCATTCTCGGATGTCGTGTGCCCACTCTCTTACCATGTCCGCATTAAAAGAGTCCGCCCTGGCATAGGCATCGTCCGCCAAATACATTACACAGGCCAAGGGCTCCATCGTGTCCAGGAGCTTGTCTTGCGCCCCTTTTAGACTCCTCTCTATCCCTCTGCGGGGGTCCCGACCTACCTGCTCCATGAATGTCAGCATAAACTGATTGAACTCGGGTGTGAAAGCTACTTTATCGGGTAGCGATGGTCTTGGGCACTCCGCTCTCATCTGCTTACATACGTGCTTCTCTAGGGGCTTGCGGATCCAGAAACGCATAAACATGAGGAGGTGCTCAGGTGGGGCCCATTCCCCCAAGCGGGGATGCCGAATATTTCTGGGATCGAACATCCTGTGCCCTGTGGTGTCTAGAAACATCTCTTGATCCTACGTTATGGTTGAGGCGGAAGCTTCTTCGACTCCTTTACCCTCAGGCACACCCAGGAAGGTCTCCGTGACATAGGCGTTAGAGCCCCAATTGCCTTCGTCCGATGCAGAGATGTCCGCCTGCCATTCATCAGGAATGTGGCATGTCTTTTTCCTCATCCGAGGAGATGTCCTTAGTGGGCTTTGATGCCATAGGACGTTTACTGCGCTTCAGGGGCACCTTGCCTTTGTTGGTGGCTTTTTTAGATACCTCGCCCTTCCAGTGGCGTTTAGCCTGGCGGTATTTCTCCTGAGAGGAGTCGTCCGACGCCTCAGAGTCTTCTTGATCATGAGGTCGTCTACTAACCGGCTTGCTAGACTGCCGCATTAATCATGTCCTGGAGCTCGCTAGTGTTCTGATTGTCCTCCATAGTGAGGGCACTGACAGGCACAGGGTTGTCAATAGATACGTGGGAGTTGGATTGTGTGGGAGGGGAATATGACAGGCCGACGGCCGTACAATAGTCGCCAGTGACGAGCGACAAGCGGACTCTGTACTACTGGGGCTCACCCAGTTGGTCGGAACTGCTTGCACAGATTCCGTTAGGCAGCACTACGGGATCTTTTCCAAATTGGGGCTCACCCCTAGCCAGATTACTGGGTATAAAACCTAACTGGCTGTCCCACTCCCTAGGGTTATAACACCCACCTTGTACACTACAACAGTAGGCACTTTTTCCAGCAGTCAAAGGTCTCCTTGTATGAGCCTGGTGGTGCTGTGAGTTGGACTTCCCCAAGAGCCTCACGAAATGGCCACCGCGGTGAACAGGAAGAAAAAAGCCTGCAAAGGCAAACAGTTAGAAAAACCTACAAGCGTTTGCAAGCAGCCGAACGTCTATGGAAGGAGAAGCTGCGAACGGACTGAATTACTTATATGAACCCAGTCCGTGCGCGTGAATGCACTGAGCTATTGAGTGTTCGCGGGTGTACGCGAACGGAGCGCCTTTCGCTCCGTTCGTGCCTTTGCTGGATGGGCACGCGCGAACCTAGGGCCAGCTTGCTCTATTCGTGCAGAGAAGTGTATGAACAGAGCAGTGAGCCCTATATGAAAGTGGCAAACGTAGCCACTCGAGGAATGTGGGGAGGGAAGGGGGATGAGGCTATCCCGTAGCGCCGAGGTGAAACAGGGGATCCCTGGAACGGTGAAACCGTTAAAGGGGTACTCCCAATAAGTGACCCCTTGCCACCCCCCAGTATCTGTATAACAGTTAAGGCAAACTATGTAGATAATACCTTTAACACATAAACACAGACAAAAAACAGTAAGGAAGTATTACTCTGACCTGACTTGTGATGGAGCAGCAAAGAAAGAGGAAACGATATACTCTCTGACTCAAGCTGATTGGTTCTTTCTTTCAACTGTTTTTTAGTTAGTAAAAAGCTGTGGAGTTAGTAAAGAAAGTTAATGCAAAATATGAAGCCTCTTGTCATGTAGTAAAATTCTAGGGCCTCCAACAAGGCCAGACTGTGGTAGCTTCACCCAGTGTCTAGAAGTGTCAGGCATAGGAAATATACAGAGACAACGTATCCCTTATCTCTTGAACTAGGTCTTGAGCTAGGTTGGAATTTCAGTGAATTTCCATGACAGTCAATATGAGGATTTCATAATTACTTTATCTTTATGAAATATGTGCTTTGCAGGGAGGAGGATGGAGGCAGTTGTACAGGTTCCAATCAAAACAAACTATAATTTACCTCTTTCATACTAAGTGCACCCACACTTATTATAAATTGATTTGTTCAGGAGAAACAGAGCTTTCGTGTCACATCAAATATATATATTAAATTATGTTTTGCTCTTTATTTCCAGTTTGGGGGACTGCTTGACAAACCAGTCAGTCCCCCTGCAGCCAATGCTTTAGACAAAGGGTCAGATTTGCTGCTGGGGGACTGTCTGGGTTATCAGGTAGACCCCCCAATCGGGATCGCAGGATGCAAACAATTACAATGTTCAATGCTTTTAAGCCCATTTAAAGCAGGATGGCATTGAATGCAGTAAAGGCATTAAGGGGCTACAAAAGATTTGCCAAATTATAAAGTTAGAGATAAGAACAGAGTTGTAAATAAATAACATTTCTGAATATGTAGCATAGACATATTTCCTCCATGTTCCAATGACATCCACGCTTTAGCTGCCTCACAGACAGCATGCCGTCTTCAATGATTCCATCTTGCCTTCCATACACTGCGTGTTTCCAGTGCCAGAGGATGCAAAGCAGCCCCAGAGCATCACCTATTCACCACCACGCTTAACTGTAGGCAGAGTTTTGTTTTCACAGTATGCTTCATTTCTTCTTTTCAGATTATGCTTCATTCTTCTTCCTCCAGATATAACGCTGATCCATTGGGCTAAAAATATCCAGTTTTGTTTCATTGCTCCACAGAACAGAATTCCAAATATTCTGTGGCTTATTTATATGATTTCACTTGTGCTTTTTGGTCAGTAGTGGTGTATGTCTTAGAGTTCTGGCATGGAAACCTTCTGCATTTTGTATGCGCCTTAATCTGCTCACTGAAACCTCAGTGCCTGTTTCTACCAAGTTTTGCTGCAGGTCTTTTGGAGTCACTTGAGGGTTTTTCACAACCTGTCTTCTCAGAAATCTGATTGTAGCCATTGATAGCTTCCTTTTTTTACCCGGTCCATGTAGTGTAACCACTGTTACTTCATCTTTGAACTATGCTTCCAACGGTGTCTCTAGGAACATTCAGTGCCGTCACTATATTTATGTATCCTATTCCTTGTTTGTGAAGGGTGATGATCTTTTCTCTTCTTTAGCCAGTTCAGGTACTTTAAGTGTTCCAGCTCAAGCTCACCTGATGCAACTAATGAATGCCCCTCAGATAGTCTAACAGAGCTTTAACTATCAGCTCCACTCTCTATCACTCCTCTACCACGTGTGATAGAAAATGGCTGATCGCAGGGCTAGCTGACAACTGGACAGGCTGGCTGTTGGCTGAAAAGGGGTCTCTCACAGACAAGCTAAGTGGCTGGCTGATGGCAGGGCGAGAGGCAGGGTGGGCGCCAGGGTGGGCTCTGATGGCACGGCGTGCTGACAGCAAGGCATGCTGATGGCAAGGCGGCTGATGGCAGGTGGGCTTAAGATCGCGCTCCCGCAATCTCTTATGGGATCGCTGTGGTGTGATCTCTTATGAGAACGCTGTTGCGCAATCTCTGCTGTTTCCGACCTTCCGGGAACAGCAGGTAGCGGCGGCCATCTTGGCTCGCAGAACCCTAGGGTTGGAACACCAATTGGGAAATGCTGTTAAATGGTATCCATTATCATACAAAATTTCAGACTGAGTCAAAAAAAGGAGCACAGAAGCAAACATTGTAATGTTTATCACAAACCCATAGGAGTAAGGAGACAGCATTGAGATGCTGAGAAGTACATGGATCCCTTAGTCTCTTATGTATTAAACTACTGATTCCTTTATATTGCAGCCTGTTCTGCAAGTTAATTACCTCTCCATTTGCCTCATTCCCTCTCACCCCATTGAGCCTTCATTAACCCCCTTCGCACCCCACCCAGCCCTCATTATCCCCCCTCACCACACATCCAGCCCTCACTCTGTCTCCAACCCACCATCCAGCCATCAGTAACCCACATTACCTCACATCCAGCCCACATTTATCCCCCTCACCCCACATCCAGCCCTGTAGCGTGGCCGAGCGGTACCCAGTCTGACAGGAAGTGCCCTCTCAGTGAGCACTTCCTGTCAGCCATGGTGCTTGGGCGCACTACATACATAGAGACCGGCAGGAAGGGAGCAGCACAGTGCTCCCCTCCCGCCGGTCACTCAGCGACCGCGGGGCCAAGACCAGCGCGACAGTGCACTTGTAAAGTTGTGGTGACCCACGGTCACATGGGTCGCAGCTGTGGCTGGGCTCCATGGAGTGATCTGCGACCCCTGCGACCATTGTAGGTATGTCACTGGTTATCAGCTACCCTTCCAAACCCAGACATGCTGTCTAAACAATTAAACTAGTAATCACAGGGTGGTACCAAGATCTGGGTGGATGGAGGTTTACTTATTGACTTTCTGAGCAGACATGAAGTTCATTCAGGAGAAGGGAGACTAGTAGGTTTGGTGTTCCAGAAGATAATGGGTTTTCCTTACATAGATGTGATGGCAGTGGTTTTCAACAGGAGTCCAATAGGTTCTTTCCTTTTTCCTCATGCATGGAAGGGGTGGATGACCCATCTTGTGTTTGGTGAATCCAAAGGGGCTATATATTCTCTTATTTCCCCTAATATCTAAGCTCCTTCAAAGGATTTATTGAAGGAAGATGGACATATTGGCCAGTTTTCCCACATTGGCCCTTCTTTCCCTTGTTGATATGCCTCTCCTTGAAACTTTAAATAGTGAAGCTGTCAATATATCAACAACAGGGCAATAGTAAACCATACAAGGATCACATTGAGGGCAAGGAAAACCTAGTTAAATAAATCCAGTCTAGTTCTGTCCTATAATGCGTGAACTATTGACTTTAACATCAGCAGTAAATCATAACGTGCGTGTTTCCTATAAATTGTGCAATTCATTAGTTAAAACTTTGGCAATTTAGCTCATGATTATGAGCTTATGAATATTCATTCATTTTCCATACTCTCACATAAACATTATGAATGATAATTAATTCCCATGTCAACTCTTTTGCAACTGTTTCACAGTTCAACTGTGAGAAATTTCAAGCCAGTAATGAATATGTCCCTTGGGTGTATGTATATCATTGGAAGGGAAGTGAAGGGTGCCCTCTGCCCTATGGAGCCAGCATTCAGTGTATTTAAAGTGCCACAGAGAACTATCTACATGTTTTATAGGGTATGTACAACTGGCGGAAACTAAAGTCTTTAAAAATGAAAATTGCAAGAAAACAAAACTAAACAAAAACCATTTTTTCGACAAATATTGCACAGTGTAACTGAATAATTTTCTGTTATTTTTCTTTAAACATTGTCTGAAGGCAATTCAGATAAATTAATTGTACATTTTAATTAAAGTACGACCAAAGACTTTTGAGTGTTGAGCTGCGAATTAGACAGATATTTCCAGGGAACATAGCACTGCTTAACATCTCGACAGTGTGTTAACTCCAGTAAAATTAGAAAATTGTATAAATCCTTAGCCCCTGAGACGAAATGTATCCGAATCTCAAACCAAAAGAAAGGCGCAATGGACGAGCATGTTTGTTTTAATTTGTGATTTGGAATTTTGCCCCAAATAAAGAGATAATTAATGGGAAAGATGAGGATTTCTGGTCAGGGGACAGCCACTAAATGTTTATTTTTATTCACAGATGAAGTGGGAAGTGGCCAATAGCGAGGAAAAAAGGAGGAATGGTAAACAACATCTATATATTTTTCCTGGGGAAACCACGTAACGCATTCGTTGTGTTGAGCTATTTCAATTGTGTTTGCTTTATTTGTTCATTGCAAACAGCTGGCAATCTGTACATTTTGACAATAAACCTAATTTTCAATAAGGGTTGAATATTTTTGATCAGACATTCCATCACAGTATAAAAAAAATGAAACTCGTAGGATTTTCTGAGGTGCGTAACATTTTGGGTGGAAAGCCCTTTATCAATTTACAAATGTCCATTGTACATTGATAAAGGACTTTCAATCTGAAATCGTTGTATTTGCCATTGTCACAAGATATTGTAGACAACTTATCTGCATGTTTCCAAACAAAATTTTAATTTCGTTTTTTGGTATTTATTTGCAGTCAGAACCAACCAGTTCACCGGGCTAAACTCGACTGTGTTAGGTTGTGACAGAACCATTCGTCTGACTATTGTGGTGGATTCGTCTGTTTCCTACATTTTCGTGTAAATGGCTGTTTCCTATAGCCCAGCCATACGAATGACGTTTTTTCCCGAAAAAAACTACCGAACGGATGGCCACCCAGGAGAGAAGTGTGCTGCTGGTTAACCTATTGATCCCAATTAGAATGTTGTGGTTAACCGCAGACACTTCTCAATTAAACCAAATTCAGGGTGGTCGTCGTTCGTATGTCGACCACGAGGCAGCGGCCATTTTAAAACACACAAAAGCCCAGCGGTGTTCGGCTCTATTTTCATGGAACTAAAAAAGGACACTTTTTCTGCCGAACACCGCTGAAACAACGGGACGCCTGGCTGCCTCCACGAAAGCGTACGAAAACCCGGCCGTTCGGGAGTTTTGAAACACACGAAAGGACTTAACCCAGATAGCCTTCCCATGGAGTCAATCGCATACCGAAAGACTGTAAGAACTTTGACTCCATGTCGATTGAACTATGTGTGTGGGATCTGAGCGCTATTCGCCAATAATATGCACTCAGATCCAGGCTATCTGGGGATATGTGATGCGAATGGGAAATGTTTGGTTATTTTAAAGTTATGTATTTTTATGTATTTTCTGGTATTGTATTTAAGATGGCGATTTGTCTTTGTCCTGGAGATAATTGAATTACTTCTCAATTATCTCCAGGGCAGAGGGGAGGAAACCATATTGCATTGTGGGAAAAGCCTGTGATTGTATGTCTGAACTGTCCCCATGTTCATCTGTAATTTCAGTCTCCCATTTGGTCCCCTAGGGGAGTGTCCACCAAGTGGGAGACCTGCATAAATACGGGCAGGTAACCCACAGTAAAGCCAGATCCTGTTTGACCCTCAATGCGGAGCTTCTGTCTTGTTATTGGGGGGATTTCTTCTTTGCGCTTAGAGACTGCTGATTGGAACCGAATGCCGCTTGGTGGATATCGTTGTTCGGCGGCTAGCAGCAGTTCGTGGATTTCCGTTTGGGAGTTTGGAGCCTTTCACGGATCCCGGTCGGGAGATTACCGCTTCCCCTGGTTATGGTTCGTGTATTACAATTGATGCGAATGGATTACTGAATTTGCGAAAGGGGAAGGTGAACTAAACAGCGGTTTCTCTTAAAGACACCAGGAGTGTCTTAACATAGGTTAACTGCATTTTTCAGGTATTGCTCTTTATTTTCCATGCATGTTTCTCAACTCAGTCTAAAGTAGTTTTTTTTTCTTTAATGGTCTCAATCTAATTTAACACCTTTCACTGCCAAGCAGTTTGCAAAAAAACAAACCTTCCAGAATCTGTGTATTTTGGGTGTTCTAAAAAATAATGCTTAAAAATATTTAATTTCAGAATGCATACTTAGTGCATGAATGGGAACAAAAATGAACATTTTAGTGCACAGAAAAAAACATTTACCAAATAATGAAGTCACAGATAGGGAAATACTATTAACATTTTTGAATATGAAACAGATTTTTCTGCCACATATTCTATAATCCTCCCACATATCTATTAAATACATTACATTATTTATTTGAATATATATTATAGATTATCCTACATGATCTCATATAATATATATATATATATATCTCTGATATGTGTACACACATTCACAATATTATACACGCACACCAATTAACACGCAAACACACTGATTCACAGACAAACACACATTGAGAGAAAGCAACATACACTCACTTTGTGTCTGCGGGGTGTATATGAATGTGTTAATTTCTGACTGGGTTTGTCTGTGTATGTGTCTGGCATTATGTACCTGTGTTACATAGTTACATAGTTACATAGCTGAAAAGAGACTTGCGTCCATCAAGTTCAGCCTTCCTCACATATGTTTTTGCTGTTGATCCAAAAGAAGGCAAAAAACCTAGTCTGAAACGCTTCCAATTTTGCAACAAACTAGGAAAAAATTCCTTATTGACCCCAAAATAGCAGTCAGATGTCTCCTTGGATCAAGCAGCTATTACCCCACTAATTAGAAATTATATCCCTGTATGTTATGTTTTTGCAAGTATTTATCCAATTGCAGTTTAAACATCTGTATAGACTCTGACAAAACCACCTCTTCAGGCAGAGAATTCCATATCCTTATTGCTCTTACTGTAAAAAAACCTTTTCTTCGCCTTAGATGAAATCTCCTTTCTTCCAGCCTAAATGTGTGACCTCGTGTCCTATATATCGCCCTGTTTATGAATAGATTTCCAGATAAAGGTTTGTACTGGCCCCGAATATATTTGTATAATGTTATCATATTCCCTCTCACGTGCCGTTTTTCCAAACTAAACAGATTTAAATTTTTTAACCTTTCTTTGTAACTAAAATGCTCCATTCCTTTTATCAATTTTGCAGCTCGTCTCTGCACTTTTTCTAGTGCCATTATATCTTTATTTAGAACAGGTACCCAAAATTGCACAGCATATTCAAGGTGTGGTCTTACCACTTACCAGCAATTTATAAAGAGGCAAAATTATATTTTCATCCCGAGAATTTATGCCCCTATTTAAACATGACAAAACCTTACTGGCCTTAGCAACTGCAGATTGACATTGCATATTGCTGTTTAATTTGTTGTCTATAACAATTCCCAAATCCTTGTCATGTGTGGTTATCCCTAATTCACTACCATTTTTGCATAAGGGTGCTTGTCTAGCAATGAGTATCCTTGCATGTGAAGTTATATCTCTGTTGTTTGTAAGCATATGTGTCTCATTGTCTGGTGGAATATGTGAGTGGAGAAGCTACGTGTAGTGTGTTGTGTGTAAGGGGGCTGCTTGTGGTGAGGTTGTGTTGCTTGTATGGGATGTGTGGGCATCACTGTCTTCAGCTGACTCTGACAGTTTGACTGTGGCAGGATAAGTTTGTAGGATAATTGTTAAATTGTTACTGGGTGTCTGTGATAGGGTGAGTGGACGTGATTGTGTGTGGGGTATGAGTGTGTGTGGAGGTATGAGTAAGGCAATGTGACGATGACAGGATGAGTTGGTGGGTGAGTTTGACAGACTCCTCCTGATCTTTTGTGACATAGAAGAGGGTTTCTAGTCTCATTGTCTGGTGATTCAGAGGGATCCCAAGATCTGACCTGCTCCTCCTGTGGTACAGCGCATACCCCATAGGTCTTTAATTGTTCTGTTTGGACCAGAGATCATCAGTCATGGTAATCTCGTTGTTGGTGGATTGGGCTGCAGAGTTGAGACTGTCCTGATGCTGCAGAGTTGAGACTGTCCTGATGCTGTATTCCTAATGCTGTAGTGTCCATGTACCTGCTTATGTTAATGACCACCCCACATGGTGCATTAAAAAGTAAAAGGTATTAACCCCTTTCCAGCACGAGACTCCCTCAGCAATGCTTACTTCTCTACCGCCAGCGACGTCACCGAGGAGGCATCACCTCCTCCTCCGAAGTCCAAACTAATGCTTCTCATAGAGGAGCATTAGGGACCTAAGCGTCTGTGCGGCCTGCACCGCAATGAATCAATGCTTTACTATGGGACTTCCATGTTAGATGACTGAGTTTTACTTAATCCTGACTAATACTGACAGCTACCAGAGATGAACTAACTTTAACAATATTTTACATTGCAGGGTTCAAAGGACACCGAGGTGCCACTGGGTTACTATCGTGTCCCCTTAACTACTTTTTTTTTTTTATATATATATTTTTTTTTAGTAATCTAAACTAAAAAATGAACATTCTACAGTTAAAAATAAATACTGTAACGGATCACCTGGCACCCCGACTGGGTACCTCCGTTGAAAGATGCTCCTAGCGCTTCCAGAGGACTCCAAGCACTCCACCAGACACCATAAGCACCGCAGGCTGCAGCTATCTCCCTTCAGAACGAAGCAGGAACAAGCTCTTACAAGAGCTCAGTGATTATAGCAAGGGAATATGCCTAGCATAGCAATCCCTTGTAGCAGATTCCCCCAATAAGAGACAGGACTCAAGTTGAGGGTAAAAATAGAACTCTCTGGCTGCTAGCTTGCAGCCCTTTTTATTAGGTGCTCCCATGAAGGGGAGGGACACACACAGTAACGTACATTAACCAATCACACAATAGTTACATCCCACACATAGCCCTCCCCTCTACCTGTAAACTAATTATCTGTACACACAGGGAAATACAATTATCATAGGTAGGGAAAATACAGTTTTTACACAACATTCATAACTCCCAAAATATACATCACATTCGCATAAAAATACATATTCACAATCAATCCATTCAGGGGAACAACATATTAAAAAATGGCATGAATCAGACCAGGGGTTCAAAAGTTAGTAAAAGTATCTTTTGTTCCCCCTGGCTCAAACAGTAAAAGTAAAACATCCCCACAATGCATCCTGGCTTCCTCCCTTCTGCCCTGGAGATAATTGGAGAAGGAATCTAATTATCTCCAAAGACAGAGCCAAACTCCATTACCCACATGGCAGACAAAAAGACAGTAAAAGACATAAAATTACATACTGACACATTTAGTACATAAAACACACATTTCTACATATCCCCAGATAGC